GGCGGGGTAAGGGAAACCGGCAGGTTTTCACGGGGGTTTCTACCCTGATAGAGAGAGAAAGCGGTAAGCTGTGAAAACAGCGCGTATGCCACCAGTGAGCCACCAGTTCAAAAAAGAAAGAGGGGGAGAAGACGAGCGAAGGGGCGAGAGAGATGACGGGACAGCTCGGTTTCACGAGGGCCTCACTCGTATATAAGCTATGAAACGAAAACCGAAAGGTCGTTAGGCAGGGGGCGAACCTTTTGTCGTTCCGTTGCCGACGCCGAAACCGCAAAACGCCCCGACAACCCGTTTCTTCTCTCTCGACCGGCCGCCTTTTTCTCCCGGGGATCCTGGGACCCGGAGAGGCGCGCGCGGGGCCTCGACGCGCCGTGTTGTGTTCGCTGTACGTGAGACAATGTCGTGAGACAGCCGCCGAGCGCGGAAAAAGAGGAAGAGAGAGGGAGAGAGAGAGCCACGGCGAAATGATTTACGCCTTGGCCGCGGCCGATTTGGCCCGCTGACTCGCCGTCGATGAGTTTCGCGCGCAGCGCCGTCGTCATCGTCGTCGATGTCGCTGTTGGTGTCATAAGGAGGCTCCGGCGCGCATACCTGCGGATCCAGGAGCGGCGTCAAATGTCACTTTGTGAAGACGTTTCGCGGAAGAATTTCGTGATTTTTCGAGAACGACGGTCTTCCGACCGGTCGGATTTCGCGGAAAAGGAATTAGCTATTAAAGAGGAAGCGTAATAAAAATTAATAAGAGTAGAGTTCAATGATAGATGATATAAGGAAAAATAAAAAATGCAGTAGTACAATGTAAATTATTAAACCATAAAAATATAAAGTTAAAAAATACATATGCAGCATAAACTTGGACGAATTATATTAAAATAAATCTCGAGCTAGCTAAATTTTGCGTTAGACTGTTATAACTTTTGCGTTGATCTAATCTTTTTCTGCCGCTGATTTGTGTTCTGTCATCTTCTACTACTGATTATTGATAACTAAAGAGAACAATAGAGGCAGGTATAGAGCGTCGCTCGAAATCTTCATCGCGTGGAGAACGAATTCGACGCGCAACTGGGGGCAGAATGTTGACGCGAGCCTTCAGGATGATTTCGGACCGATGATTAAACGACATGACCGTCTTGATGCTCGACACTTTTTCAACATTAATCTCTGCCATCCGCTCGGCCATTTGTCGGTTGTCGAATCCGTGGCCATCGTTCTCTCTCTCGGCGGCGCGAGCCGAGAGCACGGTAATTATGTTCGTAGAGACGATTAATATCCAGAGACACCTATCGCTATTTTTTCGACGGTTTTTGCCGTAAAATATATTGCGGTTTCGTTGAAAATATTTCAACGCAACAGACTGCCATTAAATGTAGAAAGCAATAGTCGATTACTAAAAATGCTACTTGTCGCTCGCGGTCGTATTTTATATTAAAGGCATTGACGTAACTGTGCCGTTCAGATTGTATGTATTAAAAAAGGGACACGTTTAAAGGTCTTTTTTTGTTTTGCAACATTAATTTATTACGACAATTATGCGTTTTTATGTAATATTGTAAAAAACAATTATTTCTTGATAAATCACTGGACAATGGCATTAATATGCGCAAGTAGTTTACTTTTAATTGCGCTATATGTAAAATGTCAATATTGATTATAGTGCAGAGAAGGAAAGTTGATAATTTTTTGGGCGTCTCATACGGATTCGCTTTGCCGTCGGTAAGCGAACTTTATTTTTTTCAAGCGAAAGTATAAATAAACATCTCTTACAAACTCTATATTGAACTGTTTACGTTAAAAACATCCGTACAACGATAATTAGCAATATATTTTATTTAATTATTTAAAATTGAGCCACTGATTTCGAGTAAACAACAATTGCAACAGAAGCGATCCGACGAAGAAATCATTTCTAAATTAGACGATATAATTGCAGAGGTAAATATTTTTTTATCTACATTATGAATTAGTTATTTTAGATGTTTTCAAATCGATTATAATAATATACATTTCCAACTTATACGCATCTGTAATTGTCACTTATCAAAAGAATTAGATCTCTCGTTAACGATGTTGAGGTGTTCCGTTTCACTTTTGTGCAAGAGCAAAAAGCATGCGAAAAACAAGCAATCGTTGTTGTTTTCGAAGTCGGCGGTTCGTTCGTTAATGTTATTAAAAAGGCCGGTGTCTCGCGTCGTTCACGAGCAGAACCGTCCAACCTGTCGGCAGGCGGAGACTCATTGATGGGATCGGGATCGGAAGACGAGGACGAGGACGGTAGTGCCCATCATCATCATCACGATTCGGCCGTTCGCGGCGCTCACCTGGGGCCTCACAACATTGGCCCGGGTGGTCCTGGTGACCAGAGCGTCGGCCACGGTGGCGAATTACCTCTTGGAAGCGATCCCTGCAAACAGGAAGACTCCGAGGATCAAGGTAAGTCCTGTCCCACTTGCTAAGAAAATTTAGCGCCGGTGAGAAATGTAAGTTGATTAGAAAGAAGTTCGCGCTGTTTTCCCGAATTGAATTTATAAGAATTCCTGACAAATATTTTTCGCCGCGTAGTAATGATAATGTGCGAGTTGTAATGTGCGCATGAAGAATTCAATTTAATTGTAAATTCAATGGATTATTTTCACGAATAAAATCTGTTACAAACAGATTTTGCGCGCTTTTACGAAAAACGCATGAACTTTTTTGATTATTTTACATGTACACATTGTAATCACTCTTGAATAGTTTGGAAATAGAAAGTTTTAATCGCATTTGCATGCGATATGGAATAAACATTTCGCAGTTAAAAGGTACTTTTATAGTAGATACGCAAGAAATTGCTTCTCAACATAATAGGACCAACGCCAATCAGAAACAACGGGTGAAATATAAGTCTCATAAAGAGCAGTAAAAGATTGTGAATATCGCAGAAAGTCGGCGTCGCGCAATTATGTGTAAAGAGTGCGATATACGCGCAAAATATCCAAGTATTGTTTCGATTAAAGCGTTTATACACTCCGCATGTAAATCATACACACACGCGCGCGCGCGCGCATACGTATCGACGCGCAAGTGAACCAAGACCATACGCATCTCGTAAGCTACCCCACAATTCTGCAAACTCGATCAAGAGCAATCGATTATTGACTCGTTCAGGCCACCCTTGGAGCCGCGCATTAACCGCGCCATTCCACGATCCCGCGAGTACGAATTCGCGGCATCGCGATCGCCGAGGGCGTCGCGGGAGCTGTCGAGCCATTATATCGCTTGTGCTCTTTTATCGCACGCATAACAATCGGCCCCAACTCTATACACCATCTAGCCTCACCCTCGCGCCGGGCACCACGTACGCAGCACAAGTCTCTCGTCCTCCTCCCCCCCCCCTTCCCCTTCCTCTCTGCTCCCAGAGGGGAGAAAAGAAGAGAAGGGGCGTCTTCACGTAGGGTGGCCCTCGTTGTGCGGTGTGACACTGTCCAAACATTTTCTTTGTCCCGTGGTTAAGACCTACTCGGTATATATATACGTGTATATAGATTACCGTGGAGAGTCGGGGTCTTATATGCGCGTGTGTGCGTGCGTGCGTGCGTGCGTGCGTGCACAGTGGTACTGTGCGCGCGCGTATGCGTGCGTGTGTGCACGCGGATGCGGGGTACGGCTTTCAGCGCGCGCGGCAGCAGCCACGATAATCCGATGGGGGTTTCGCATCGCTTCCGGGGGATTGGCTTCGATTGTTGTTACCTCGATCCGGCCGATGAAGATACCGGGATACACGGGGTGTCCCAGACCCACCGCGTGGCCTCACAGTCACGACGAATCTACGGTCGATTATCCCCCGGCGCAGAAGTTGGACGGGAAGCCATTATCGGTTGCAGTTTCTGAAATTTTCATTAATTTCCATTAATTTCTCATTCGCTCATATCATGAAACAGAAGAGAAGGAAAGTAGTGTTAAAATGAAATTTGCCAGAAAAATTAACGGAGAAACAGTATATTGTCATTAAAAAATATATACTTGCAGAAACTTCAATGTTCATATAATAGAAACACCCGGTATGTGCGTGTATATGATAAATTTCTGATCTCCCACCGACACACATAACGCGCTTTTTAAACATTCGATATTGCGGTAAGAGAGATCGCAACTCAACGGGCGTTGCTTAGAAACTCCCGTAACGCAATGATGACGCGGATGACTCGGTGTCTCGGGATGACAAGTTATTTCTGGGTTACCGACGAGTCACGCGTCAGCGGATACGCATAGTTCGGGATTAAGAAACCGACAATATCCCTCCGCTATCGACGGCTGAGTAATAATGAACATGCGGCCTAACGCTGAAAATATTGTGTCAGCCTTCTTTCCTAGACGCTGACGTCCTTAGGACTTGTCAGTTACGTACGAGCGACAACGTCGTATCTGTTAAAAGTTGGAGATGCGAAAACCTAAGCTTAAGAATGATTATTTTCATTAAATTTAGATGTAGAAATTTATTTAAAATCGCTTGCAAAGAATGCGACGATGTACGATAAAAATTTTTAATTTGTCATGACAGATATACAAATATGAAGACCAAATATTGCACTAATTTCCATTCTTAAATTTACTTTCTGTCGTTCTCATATTTATTAATTTGTGAACGCAATTTTAGTTCAAGAGTTTTAGAAAACAGAAAGCGAACTGAGTCATCTCAGAAAAGTCATATCTTTGTCTCACTGAAAAATTTGCTGTTTTATTATTATAATCGATTTTATCATTGTTATAATCGATAGATGTAAATTCGTACACTCGTGAAAATCACTATTGAGGGAGACAGACTTTTCGCAATGACTAATTTCGCTGACACTTGTCGGCCGTCGATTCGGCGAGTCTTATGAAATAGGCCCCAGGTGGTGGTGGCGATGGTCGTACGATTGTGATGCGGCAGCTCGGCTTCGATCGGTTGAAGGTTCCCTGGATGGCGATCCCGAGACGAGGGACAGCCAAACGGAGAACAAGAGTCCGGATGGCGGCGCCGGCGGTGGCAGCGGCGACGGCGGTGCCGGTTCGAAACGACGCGGCCCGCGGACCACCATAAAGGCGAAACAATTGGAGATTCTGAAGACGGCCTTCTCGTCAACTCCGAAACCCACCAGGCACATTAGGGAGCAATTGGCGAAAGAGACCGGTCTGCCTATGAGGGTCATACAGGTGGAAAAAGTTTTTCTCTTATCACTTTGTGCGTTTTGCGCGTTGCATTTGTGAGTTGTGCAATAATTCGCGAAATTTCTCTCGATTATTATTTTTTACGACTGGAAAAATCAACTTTTCGCCAGCTTTATCGATTCTGCTATCTTTTAAATATGTATATATATACACTCACCCGAAAAAAAAGCGGTACACTGAAAATGTGGGAAAAATTCATCAAATTTCAACTGACGATAACTTCGTAAATAATAAAGATAGAAAGTTCTATAAAATATGGAAATAAAGCTAAAAATCTCTACTTTAAGAATCAATTTATTTCAATGTTGCAAAATAAATTTATTGAAAATGGCGGATGACAAAGCGCGAGCATGCAAAATTGAAAAATAATGGTTCGAGTTTGCGACGGTGCACGGTATAGACAAAAAATTGTAGCTTATTGGGATCAAAAGCGTACGAAAGTACAGAGTCTCCTCTTTAAAATGCTTTTTTATGCATCTCGATACGATGATTTTTCGCCGAGAGATTCGCATTTGAAGAAAAAGGCAGATTCTTACTTCAAATGCGAATCTCTCAGACGAAAAATCATCGTATCAAGATGCATAAAAAAGCATTTTAAAGAGGAGACTCTGTACTTTCGTACGCTTTTGATCCCAATAAGCTACAATTTTTTGTTTATACCGTGCACCGTCGCAAACTCGAACCATTATTTTTCAATTTTGCATGCTCGCGCTTTGTCATCCGCTATTTTCAATAAATTTATTTTGCAACATTGAAATAAATTGATTCTTAAAGTAGAGATTTTTAGCTTTATTTCCATATTTTATAGAACTTTCTATCTTTATTATTTACGAAGTTATCGTCAGTTGAAATTTGATGAATTTTTCCCACATTTTCAGTGTACCGCTTTTTTTTCGGGTGAGTGTATATATTTTGATAATTAAATCTTAACTAAAAATTCTATTAAAATCTTGCTAAAGCTCATTTGAAATTAAAACACGGCGGTGTTATTTATTTTCGTAATTGAAAAAATCATTGATTTTAAAAGTTTTTAATCTAATTTTAAAGTTTAAATAATTCAAATAATCCAATTCAGTAAGAGACATAACGCTTTTATTATAAGATAATAATTTACTACTCAAACACCTTGCATATTGCATTGTTTACACAACTTTCAATATTATTCTTATAAATACAATCGGTTATTAATATCGAAACGAAAGATATCAAAGAAACTATTATAACGATTGCTATCGGCAACGCACGAATAATATATGACACTTTTATGTAGCTGGCTTCTAAATTGCCGTTAAAAACGACGCGACGCTCAAAAGTCCTCCGCTATCGCAAATAACGAGGAAAAAAAATAACGCGTCAACAGATCATTTGCCAGAGAATAATTCACCTGGCGCGACAACACCATATTATTTGCCGCGAAATAATTTCGCAACAATGCCGCTGGTGAAATCGCGGTGCATCACCGATAAAAAATTATTTACCACTGCTTTTATACGGCTCCGAAGCGCAAAGGGCAAAATAAAGTACGGTGGAGTGAGTTATATTTCATATTCTAGAACCGAAGCGCTATATATCTTTGTGTATCACACATACGCACAGCTTGTTTTAAGAATAACAATTTAAAAAGAAGGAAAAAAGTGTTAATAAACAAAGAAATATTTAATATACATACATATACAGCTAGTTGAGCAAGATTTTATAATTCTGAAACAATTTTATGCAGAATTGAAAGATAGCGGGAGAAGAGAAAAAAAAGCACTGCCCTTAAATAATTTAGCGATTAAAGGCGGCCGGTATACCTGTTCCAGGTCTGGTTCCAGAATAAGAGGAGCAAGGAACGCAGGCTGAAGCAGCTGACGTCGATGGGCAGGAACCCCTTCTTTGGGGGCTCACGCAAGATGCGTGGCTTCCCGCTGAATCTAAACCCCGGCGCCCTCGGTGGCGAGGACGGCCCGCCGCCTGGTTTTCCGTACTTCGGCCCGGACAAATTCGAGTTCGGCTACGGTGGCCCGGTGGCCTTCCATCACGAGTTCTTTGGCGCACATCCGCCCCCGCATCCACACGGGCCGCATTTCGCAGGCACGGGAAATCCAGGTGAGTCTTTTGTCTCGTTCGCGAAACGAAGACTATTGTCGTCCTTATTATTAGTGCAACATTCCTGTTGCACGTGGGATAAATATATTAGAAATTCTGCGCTCGAAATGATGAGAAAATCTTGACGCGGAAATTTGAAAAGCGTGTAATTTTCTCTCGCTGTGTATAGCGAGCAATAACGATGCGAAAGAATCGGGGTATCGTTCTCTAATAAATTTTAGTAATTTAGAACCCTTATTTTATTTTCTTCTAATTATATTAAATCTTCCCTTCGGGCTCTATTTTATTAATCATACGGTTTTGTTGTGATAATATATAAAAGCTCACGCTAAACTGCCGCTTGAAACATCGACTTGAAGCAAAAACGGCCGAAATCTACGCCGAAAACTGGGGCCCGAGAGTCTAGTCCCGGAATCTCGCGTAATTATAATAAACCTCGAATCAAGTAGGTAGGCCCCCGCGATAATTATGACAGCCGGTTTCGGAGATGGCCGAGCGGATACGAGGTCCCCTCTGAAAGCAGTACGTAATCTGTTTCTGACAGGCCTGGACCCGGCCAGTTTAGCGGGCATGGCAGCGGCAGTGGCGGTGGCAGGGGAATATCCACCTCCGGGCGCGGGGGGCGGCCCTCCGGAATTTCTCACGGGGCCCCCCGGGCAGGGGGCCCCTGCGCCCACCGGCGGCAGCCCCGGCGAGTTCTTGGCACCTTCAGGTAAGAAAGAAATATCCCCGGCGAACCATTACCACCGAAAACCGACTGATTCGCGACTGCTGATCAGCCTCGATGATCGTGCGAGCCTGCCCGCGAGCGAACTTTATGTTTGCCCTCGCGTCGATTTATTAGCGTTATTTTCGCGATGCGGCGGCAACCATTAATTCGCGATGCGGCGGCTCGAAGAGAAAATAGATATGTTTTTGCATCGCCGGAATAATAATGTTCTTTGCGTGAATCGTATCTTTCGGGTGTCGGTTAATTTCAACATATTAATTTCAACGTTTAGTTCTTCCCGTTCAATTAAGATGGATTTTTACATTAATATCTCTTAATTATTTTTCTCGACTTAATTTTCCGTAAGCGCGAATTAACGATCGGAAAAGATAGGGATTGCATAATATTCACTTGGTCGCGTATGTTTCGTGACGATTATTCGTGACGATTTATTATATGCATCTTTGTTGGATCGAATATGCCGTGTCGTGTTAATTAGGAACGCTTTAGTCTCTCGCGATATCGAATCGAAACTGTTTCACGCCATTCAACATTTCACGTTGAAACGAAAATTATACGTTGCTATTAACCTTTCGCACGCGGTATCATTTTTATCGTATCGCATCGCGCTATTATTCGCACACAGTTGCGATGTTATTTCGTGCACGAAACATATGCGCGAGGGATTTCTAACTATGTAGGATTTTCTGCAACAAAGTATGGCAGCGTGACTGTCACTTCCTTCGGCGCTTGACGCATGGATAATTGAGATCTGACAATCATGGCATGACCTTTTGCGTCTAATTCTGAAAATCTAAAAGTACATTTTCTAACTTGCGTCAGATATGTACATGTGTCTTATCCGACTGTCACCGGTATATCAGTCAAATCACACGTATGTCATTAAATTGTTGAAGAAAGCGCAATTAGCGATAGCCACATTAATAATCACGGTACTTAGGTATAAAACAGGATGTTTAACATTTAATATAAATTTTGCTTGAATTTGAGAATTTTGCAGATGTTTTGCGTTTTTTCGTAAAATACAGACGCATATATTTTTGTAATTTTATTATACAAAATGACAGCTATATAACACGTTAACGTATATGCAATATGTTTAAAATATATATTTATTTATGAACAATAGTGTGAATATATAACGTTAAAACTCGGATTTCTGGGTTGACAGAGACCGTATTTATTTACCGTTTTCGGTAAGAGAATAGTAAATTTGCAACAGACAAGATAAGAGAGGAATTAAACCTATTGCTATTGGAACAATTATTATATGCATTTCGATTTATTGAAGAAATATAACAATGACGAAATAAAAAGTGTTACAGTTATCGTGTTAATATTTATAAACCGCCGGCGGCGGATTGTCTCGCCGACTTTCGCGGGACTTCCGGCCGCTGGCTGCATTGCAGGATTTAAATCTTAATTGGCATCGACGCCGTTTGCGTTCGCTTGTTCCCAGGTGGAGGGCAGGGTAATCCGAGCGGCGGCGGGAACGGCGGCGGCGGGCCGGGCGGCGGCGGCGGCGGCGGTGGCAGCGGGGTCGCGGGCGGCGGGTTCCTGGAGCCGCACCAGATGCAGAGCGAAGGGCTGGCCTGGTAGTACGAGTTTTAATTAACGTCCCTTATAATAATAATTCCGCCCGCGCGCCTAAACCGAACGGAATCGCGAAAGCGCCGCCGAGCGGAAAGCGAGAACGAGAAAGTCAACGGCGATGGCGGCGGCGGCGGCGGCGGCGATTTCGAGTCCGAGGGCGACCGGAAGGCTTTCGGCGTTTCGTTGCTTTCCTTCCCGTTTCCCTTTCTTTTTCGTTGTATTTTTTATTCCTACTTTGCAATCGCATCGACTCGATCGAATCGTTATGAATATCGAATCGTCGGCGCTTTTCTGTAAAATACAGACACGTGCGAAACGCGGTTGTCTGCGCGTTTTGATTCGCGGTTATCGTTGTCGAGCAGTCGACGCTATTATCTTTACTATTACGCTCCTCGGCGCCGCGACGTCGATGTTACTATTTTCATTATTATTATTAATATTATTATTATTAATTATTATTATTATTGTGTATAAAATTCGAAGGTCCCTATCGTGTAATATTGTACCCTCCCTGTTGATTATTTTTCGACGTTACTTTGGAGACATCCTGTAGATATCTGCTGTTGTACACCTGATAAAGACACACGAATCGCTAGACACATACAAACACGCAATGTCACACGCGCACACGTACATGTACACAGAATACACGGACACGGATCCACACTTGGATACGCTGTACTAATATTATCATTAAAGTATAAATATAAACAGGAAACGTGTAATTTGTATTTGTTAAGGCGGCGAGATTGATGTAAATACACACAAGAAATACACAGAAACACTCTCTATCCTCTCTCTCTTTGCTGAAAAATGCGTGCGAGTCGATTTTTGCGCGTACGGCTGGACTTACTCGCCACCGGAAGAGTTATATATATATGTATCGTGACGTAATAACACCGAAAGTAAAGCAGATTGAGAAAGAGACGCGCCGCCGCGACGCATAACGATTATAAATATTATTATAATAAACCACCTCGTATTTCCGTATACGAAACTGTGCATTTCATTTCCTTCTAGCTAGCTAGCCGTTCGGCTTCTCTTTTTTTCCTATTTATGCGACTGATGTTGCACGGAAAGATGGACAATTTAACGTATTACACTGCAATAATTTGTTCTGTTTTAATAGAGACTATCCATCAAGTAATTGAATTGAAATCTTCTTAAATTAAAATACGAAATTTAAATTAAAATATTAATTTATGTAAAAATTATTTTTGTATAATTGATGGCTGATTTTTGCAAAAATATTATAAATTATTAACACAATGTATCTTTTCTGCCGCATCAATAATGGCTTTATTAATTTCAATAATTATTTTATTTTTTTTGGTGATACGGATTAACATTGCTGTTAGTGTGGCGAATCTGAGATTTCCTACTATCAACAAGCAAAGTGTACGCGTGAAATGATAATTTAGATAACGATTGATCGTAAAAAACCTTTTAACGATGGACATTAATGAGGTAAGTGGTCATTTACATTTTTATTAGTATGTGTCACCATCTTCAATTCTATACTTATCGCTGCTGACAGACGTCGTTCTACCTGTCATCGCATCGATTTCAGTATCATTATCCTAATAAGTAGCGACACGGTATTTGACCGCGGACTCGTCGCACAATGACATATCGAAGAGTTGAGAAAGTCGCTACGGAGACTGTTTATTACATTAATATCTTTATTAATAGCGCAAAGTGCCTGCACGCTCCTTTAACAGAATGACGAACTTATTAGTTTTTTATTATGGCAGAATATATAGTTATCACGGTAGAAAGATCGATTAAAATAATCAAACTTGACTCATTTAGTCGAAGAGAAGATGTGATCGATATCTTACACGCATAGCCGAATATCGCGAATAAAATGTTGAAAAAGTTTTATAAAAAAATTCTATTTTAACTGTAGAATAAAATCAATCCTCTGAAATATGCAGCTTATAAATTATGTCAGCTCTCTTGCGTATTTGCATACGCTTTGGGTAGCTTTCGCATGCAGTTGTCGCATTTATATGCCGCCAATCAAGAGTGCCACATTACGTTACACTACGTTACGCTACGTTAAATGTATACGTCGCGTCGGCCGGTTTGCAGCGGACGCTTTTTTCGCGCGTCAAAAAGCGCGTTGGACTTATTCAAAAGGCAATCCGGCTAAATACCGGAATGACGTGCGCGAAAAAATTCAAAGCGAAAAGCAGGTATACACTTGCCACGTGTGATGACGTAACAGAATTACAACACAACGACGCCAACATTCCACCTGTAATGTAAATTCATCGTTGAAATTTCACTAAATTTTGTTAAATATAATATCCACATGCCAGTATTTCTTATTTTATTACAATTTATACTTTTTAAAATAATTTCTACGCCATTGTTTTAAAAATTTGATTAGTACCGAATCACTATAGATAATTTAATTAAATTTTAATTTTTAAATATTATTTTCATGTGTTAAAGTTATTTTAAATAATATTTTAAAAAGATTTAAATACATGTATTTATTAATATTTGTTAAAAATATGATATAAAATAATTTTAAAAGAGAAAAAGAGATGGATAAAAAAATCATTTAATAAAATTTAATAGTAATATTGTTAAATTCTTTTAATTGTCATTAAAGTAACATAATTATTAATTGCGTCAACAATTTGATTAATTTTTAACATAATCACTATCATCAACTCGTAATTTTTTTTTTTTTTTTGTTTTTCTGCTCTTTTTTCCCTGCAAGAGAAATGCTTTATTGAGAAATGGACAGGGAGCTCAGGTGGCAACGCGAATCCTTTCCTTTTCCAAATCGCTGGCCGTAAACGCATCTGCGGCCGACGTCGCCCTGTCGTCGTTAACGGGTGCGACATCCGAGGAAAGGAAAAGGAGGGTGCTGCCTGGACATCTGGTGAATTCGATTTTGATGTGTTTCTGCGACCCCCCCGGGGGTCGAGCGGACGTCCTCCTCGCGTCGTATCTTCAACACGACCCCGTTGGGGCCGCCAACGATGCCGCCTTGTGTCGACGTCCCCATGTGTGTTTCGCGTACATCGTGTATACACAAGCGATTCCACCCCCTGGCGCTTGTTGCAAGTGCACCAAGTGTGTGCACAGAGTCGGTGGTCCCACATCGCAGTTTATGGCTGCGTATGGGCGCCAACGAGGTTTCGTTTAAAGTATAGGGATGCTGATAGGAATTACGTGAAAAATTTCTCGAGGGATCTCTCGAAAACTTATTACTTTTATTACAACGACGTACGCGCGCATTGATAAAATAATTTACGCGTGCTTGGTATTGAAAAGTAGCTGGATTTAATGTTATTTTATCAAAACATTGGTTGTTTTCGTTGTTTAAAAAAATTTTAGCTTGATTATTTTATCAGAATAAACGTTTTCCATTGTATCTGTATACAGTAGATGTAACAAAGTTGTTTTATTTAATTTATTTATATTATACATGAAGATTCAAAATATGAGATCGTGACAAAAATTTGAGGCGTATCTATAATCACATTTACATGTGTTCTCAACATACTTATATATATTACCTCTTGCAATCTTACAATTCTTACGCAATTTTTTAAGAATTTACACCGAGGACATAATTTAACATCATTAAGAGCGTTTTGATCGGAGAATTCGGCGTGACCCCTTTTATTGTCGATATCTCCATGTGGCGAGAGTTCGGCGTGTAATTTAGCTGGATAGTTACTGCGTGCGCGCACATGCGATGTAACGATGTCGACGTAGGCGTCAGCCTACCATGTAATATGTGTGTCCTGTGCGGCGGAGACTTCTGCGGGATATCTCCCGGGAGATTCGACAGATGCGCGGCCCGCCTCCGCACCCCAGGAACTGCCGTAGGCTCCCGTGGGAGTCCTGCAGGGACAAACCGTCCCGGGGGGGTCGCAATCCTCGGTCCTCGTGTCTTCGTATTCTCCTATTACCCTCGTTTACGCGGGATAAGAAAACGCGAACGTGGAATATTCTTGCGCGCTGCTGCACGAACGGGATAAAAATCCGATTAAATCCCCGCAGAATCATACCGCGATTAGCGAGCATTGATTAAGGGTGTTATTTCGCGTACAAATAGAAAAAGGCAATTGTGATTTGGGGCTTTGAATTATCGCGGGGATAAATGATTATTTTATATTAAATTCACATTTTAAATTTTATACAATTGTATATGAAATCCACCTGTATTTCGAATTTATAATAAATATTTTCACTAATAAATTAATTTAATAGATTAAATTATTGTTAACAAAGAACGTAAACATTTTTTAAATTATTGACACATTATGATAATATACTTATAATTTGATAAACATTTGATACTTTCAGATTTCCACATTGCAAAGCCGGAAATCTGGTTGAAATGATCTTATTACGTATTGGATTTAACTCAGATTTCCAATCATTTTCACAGACGCAAACTATTCTCGTGAACCTTATCTATATATTATCGGTAATACCGTCTATACTATTCATCGATGCGTATCTACTCGTCGGAGAGACGTTCGAGGAGATATGCAGAGCAGGCCGGCGAACAGGGGTTCGCAAGGGGGGTGGCGATTCCAGGGCCAAGGGCTGCCGACGTGTCACAGTCCAACGCGCTCCGGCGATTTGCTCACGTGTCTGCGCACGTGTCGTAAAACGAGCCCCAGTCTGCTATCATTATGCAAGGAGGCCTTACAAATCACGCCCTGCTTACCGCGTGCGCGCGCTGTCACACAGGTTCGAATTAACGTGATAGAGCTTTGAATTACCCTCCGGGACCACCCTTTTCATCGTCGAAGCCATTGGTTGTGAATTTGTTCTTCAAATTTCTACCCGATTTGAGGAAGTACTCGCTTTGGGAAAGCCGTTACCGAATATCGATCGATTCACCGTCGCTTTGAAACAAGTCGTTTACTTTCGAAATAGCACAAATTTAGTTGCAGCATGTGTTAAACTGTACTAAAGTACAATATATTGGCGCGCATTTGGTATGAATTCATACAGTTAAAGCGCACATTGCTTTCACTTATCGGGTTTTTAGCTTTCAAAAAATTCAAAGGTTGTCTTGTATTAAAAAACATTACGTAATATTTTCTATTATAAACTATTCAATTTTCTTTCTCTCTCTCTCTCTCTCTCTCTCTCTCTCTCTCTCTCGGTATTTACAAATTAATGTACTAAATTATTATTAGAGAGAGAGTATAATGCTTTGAACTCATTTTAACCATCTATAATTTGCAATAAAATTCGAGATAGAATTTTATTCATAATTTTACGTATTGTGTGTAAAACAAGAAACATTCGAAAAAATCGGACTATTTTAATCCATCCTTCCATTGTACATTTTATAAACTCTTCTACGATAAAAAATACGTAGAGGAGTCTATGGAGACGTAAACACCACAGATTCAGCGATCGTACGATCACGATAGCGTCGTCCACTTTATTCTTCCAATAACATTGTACGTCCCACGCATAAAGTCGCTCGTCTCCGGAGGCTCCCTAGCTCCCGCCGCTCAAGCATCTTTCTTCCAAGAGTCCACACGAATTCGGATGACGTCGATCCGTAGGACGGCCGACACAATGGAGACGTCGAGTGGAGACGTTGTCGCCGCGGATGCGGCGAACGAAGAAGAAGAGCGTTACTCGTGACGCGTGATGTTCGCGTCGTATTTATTTCCGTCTTCTTTCGAGCGTGCAGCGAGAACGGGCAGAGACCAGAAGTTTGTCCGTCCGGCAGGCGGACGAGCGGACGGATAGATGGACGGACAGACGACCTCCTGGCGTTCCGCCTGGGCTTAGGCTAATCCGAAATCCGGATTACCTGTGCGTCCCGTACAGCCATTCGAGCGGTCCTGTCTTACAGACGTCGTACAGCAATGATAGCTCGCTCTTTCTTTCTTCCGTGGCATTAGCCGTACCTCCACATGTGACGTCCTCGAATGCGAAAGCGAATGTGCCTTTCTCTATATACACAGGGTGCCTCTCTCTACGGACCCGGATAAACGTAACCGTAGACAAAAGTAATCCGACCACATATTTGTTGCGCGACGTGGGTTCTCGCCGTCACACTTGTGTGTGACGCGCATCGGAAATTTTTGTATCCGAAAAGGGCTTTCGACAAATTCAGATGGGTTTTGTTCGCAGGTTGAAAAAGGGGCAAAATATTTGTATTATTGTATATCGATATAAAAAATATACCAAGTCTGACGATAAATCAAAATTCGTATTTGAACAAACTTCTACGTAAGCTATGAAAATAATCGATGACGCATTCTCCTATTGAATATCTTAACAATGCTATCAGAACTTTTCTCTTATTTGCAAATTTTTGTGTCACCTTATACATGAAATGTACATACATACATATGTATGCACGGCGACATATATATGCCTGCCTCAACATAAACGCGGCGATCCTAGCAGCATTCTTATTACCATACATGCATGTAAATGCACGTATCGCTCGCCGTACGCGGTTTTATCTTCACCTGTAAAACACGCACATTTTTCTGACACAAATTTCTAGAATGGCGTAAAGTTTCGATTTCGAAGATAACGTGCTGCATTTCGCCTTTCAATTTCGCGAATATGTAAGTAGAACGATGAGGTAAATCAATTAATAAAGCATCAGATTTTCACTATTTTAAGATATATTATCTTTAGATATTTGAATTTGTGTTATATCACAATTTGCTTTAGTAAATTTGCGCGAACAATTTGGTTTTAAAAGCAAATAATGCTCACATGACTAATTCAATAATAATATTCATAATAACAATAATAATAATAATAGAATTATATCAATATTAATATTAACAACAATGATAATAATACTGAATGATAATTACATTGCTGATAATGAGATAATATAGGAAAAATTAAATTATTTCGCGCGGCATGTTGAAAATAGAAATTACAAAATGTCCACACGTAAAGTCCCGGTGCGAATAAAAATCGCGCGCAAGATTCCGCTTGCGTCCAAGAAATATCACACTCATCTTCTCGGCGATTCCCACCCTAATCGTCCCATACGCGCTTGCACCCTCTCGACCCGCTTATCGGAGCGCCTGACCGCCCCTCGTCGACGAGATAAGTATTTGCTATTTAAAATACCAGCTCCCCGATCTTGCGCGGGCCCCAAGATAAACCACCGCTCGTGTCGTGGGGTTGGCCGGCGGACGCGGCGAGGGCGAGAGCGAGAAAGAAAGGGCAGAAAGAGGGGCTGATTATAAACCGAAGGCAACAGAGAAGGTTCGAGTGTGGCGGGCAAAACGCGGGGGTGGGTTTACGCGCAGGGGCGGTGGAGTGTGCAGCAACAGCAACAGCAACAGCAGCCACGGCGGTCCACTGTGAGGGTGGTTTACGGGGAGTTGTACCGGGCATTGTTGTATAAATAGGTTTGGCGAGTTAGGGGTTGCTACCCCCGAGGGAACTGCACATGTCCGCATCGATTATACCACCCCTTCCCCGCGTATAACATCTCTCCTTCTCACTCTCTCCTTCTCTCGCCCTCTCGCGTCTCGAGCCTCTTCTCGATTCTCTGCCACCGGGGGATGGCTTCGATTCCCCTTGTCGTAACAATCCCTCTTTCTCTCCCTTTCCCTCTTTTTCTCTCTCCTTTCTCTCTCTCTCTCTCTCTCTCTCTCTCTCTCTCTTTTTCATTCATACAATCTCACTTTTTTTCGTTTTTTTTCTTATGAAGTATCCCCGCTTGCCCCTCTTTCTCTCCCTTGTGTTACCTTTTTTTAGTTTGTTATTTTTTTGTTACTTTGCTCTTTTTGCCGCGTTCTCGTCGCGCGCTTCATAGCTTCTTGTACCAGAACAGATAGTGTTCCCCTTCGCTGATCTGCAAGTTGTCGACACCTGCAAGCGCGCGACAATTATTATCGAAACTGCCAATAAATTGATGCACATTTCTTATTTTATATATATTTATATATATATTTGAAAATGGAAGGAATGCGGAAGACCAGAGGCATTCCGCGCGTTTTTCCGCCGTACCTCCGGGCGCGACCAATTGATTTCCAGGCGGCGAAGACGGCTCCGGCGGCGACGGCAGTCTGTAGAGCAGCCAGTAGTGATAGGACATCGGCTCCTCTTTGTAACCGGCCAGCGTGTGAACGTAGTGGCCGTTAGGCCATTCGGACGCGGTGAACTGGAAGTGAGGCGACATTTCCGCTGCCAGCAGCATCACTCCGTAAAAGGTCTCGTTCTTGGGCGCGGTCACCGTCAGATTGTACGTTTCGTTTACATTGCTGCCGACCCACAGAGTGTACGACACGTTCACCAGCACCGGCGCCGTGGTGCCCGCCACCGTGGTGTCCACATTACTCATGTTACCACCCGACGCTTCCGACGGCAAAGCGGTCTCGCTGTGGTTGTCGGAAGTTGCGATGTCTGCAACTCATAAGTTTAAGGGACCATCATGTCACGCGTTCCATTTGTTCCGCGCGATAAAAGCGGCGTCAGCGCGTTACCTTTTAATTCCATTTAAACTTCTTCTAATTTAAATCTTGCAGATTACTTTTGCGGAATAGTAATTTTCAAATAATCAATCGTTATCGATTTTTTTTTTCGTTATTTGAAACATTCATATAAAAATTTGTGATTTAACGTTATAAATTAAGGAAAACATTTACATGGAGAAGATTTATTTCTCTCTCGGTAAACTTCGCTCTAGGGACCGTTATATTGAAACATTTACTGTTGCTCGTAGTCAGACGAGGCGGTGAGTTGTCCGACAGACCTTGTCCGCAGTCGAGAGCTCGAATACTGGCCAGTCCGCGCGGTGCGACACCCAGCATTGCCTCGACCGTGGCTCGGATATCGCCGCGGAACGAACCGTCCGATTGTTGCTGGCTGATCAGCCAGGCTAAAGCCGCGGATCTGTTCCAGTTGTTGGTCGGTTCGTTCTCCACCTCCTCCAGCGCTTGCATCACCAACGCGGTGGTGCGCAGATCACCGAAACTGCCGTCTTTTTTCTGCTGCTGCGCCAATCCTATCGATGGCTTGCGAGCGAAATGATGAAGATTGCGATGTCGGTGGTCCTGCACGATGCACTGCAGTGCCAGAATCACCATCGCGACAGTGTCTACAATCAATTTCATCGTTTGTTAATATTATGTGTCGGGAATTATAAAACAATTCGACAAAGTCGACAGAACAAAAGAAGCTCAGAAAGTTTGTATCAAGAGACACGGTCGTGAGACAAGTACACGCGCAAGATGCTATACGCAAGTCGACTATTTGACAGTTTTCGAGTTTTTTATGTGACGCATGGATCAATATAATAGATTTAATCAATATACACGTTGTTGTAAGAATTACAGCGTGTGGATGGCAGAGCGTAAAAGAATTTCTTTATTATCAAAAGCTACAAAATAATCAAACGGTGTTTCTGTGTCCGGAGAGATTGTAACCGATAGCGTGAACAGTTCACGTGAACTTGACATGTTGCTGTCATTGGCGCATCAACGTAATTAAACGTAATATGATCCTACCCTTCGAACTCGCCTCTCAATCGATCAATTAGGCCGAAACAACCCTAGTTTAGTGGACTGTTTGCTAAATTATTAGCAAATTGAAGGTATGCGCGGAAAATAACTGATTGTCGAGACATTAAAAATGATAGAAATCGCCCACGTAAACTTTCTCCTCTAATCGGCGATTGTCATGTTATTGTCAATTTAGAGATATTTTGCGCAAAGTATGTGCGATTATCATCTTACCGCGTAAATTATCGTTACAACCCCGTTAAATTGGACGGTCCGAAATTGTGTCAAATACTTCATTCTTCAATATACACGACAGATTACTCCACAAAATTTCTTTACTCTTAGATTAAATTTATTTTACTTGAAGAAACATACGAATAAAATCATTTGTCGTCTTCTTATCTGTCTTATCTGATTTATCTTTTGGAATAATAATTTTAATATAAAACTCACCGACATTATGATCTTGTGCGGCATTTGCGATGTCCAGAAGACGACGTATCTGTCGCTTGCGCACGTGCGCTTGTGCGCTGCAGGCCGCGAGCGTGGTCAGCGCGAATTCGTAATCGGTCGGCGGTTCGTGATGCTGTAGCGTGCCGATTAGATCGTGACCGTGGAACTGTCTTGGATCCATGCACATCGCGTTCAAAGCCAGAGTATAACGTGCCAGTCGAACGGGAGAGAACGCTTCTCGATGTCTGTAAAACACAAGCGAAAGCAAAAGAATCATAAATGTACGCATTTTACTTACTAATTTGTGAGAATAAAAATTCGGTATATCTTGCGCGAATTTTTATAATAAAAATAAAATATAAACAAATATAATAGAAATAAATTTTCGCAAACAATATTATAAAGAACATTTGAGCTAATATTAATGTAACAGATTGTTGTTTTTACCGCGCAATTTACAAAAAATCCGTGACCGAGAAGTATTCGTCAATATCGCGATGAAACCCGTTTTATCGGCCAATAACAGATTGGACAACGTGCCGAGCCTCGAATAAAGAAATCGATAGTGTGAAAACACCGTGATACCGGCCATATATACGCAGGAAAAATACCATTCTTTCGCGAGCGTTGCACTTAAGGTCTATCTATGTGCGCCACCGATAACTTGACGATAAAGAATGTCAAGGCGTATAGCGAAGCACCTATTCTCCATTTCCTCTCCAACTATGCGAACTTTCTGGGTCGTTGAAAAGTGTAGCAGTAATGTCTGTCATGCGTTAAAAACGAGCTATATCTCCGTCGACGGAAATTCTAAGTTGTTCATTTATTGCAAACTATTGAAAATAGACTATTGCAATTTTCTTCGTTTATAAATCTTTTAACCAATTTGGGATCGATATTTTTGTATTCATTTTCATTAAAATATTACTCTATTAGTATTTATAAAATATTAATTTTGTATAAAAGAACAATTATATCGATTTTATTTCAGTTTTATAACAATTAGCAG